TGTTTCATTTTACCGTGACAGCCGCCGCTCCGTGCGCTCATTCATAACCTTTCCCTCTTCAAAGCACCAGTAATGACGTGGACGTGGGCCAGTTCTTTGGTCTCAATCCCACACTGACCTGTGTCTGTAGTGACCCTTAGTACTCATAACAGAAGCCTGATGTGACTCAAATGAATTGTTTCTGACTCGCAGCTCAAACAGGTGGAGATTCTAAACATGCAGTCTGTTCCACGCTTGTGTTTGTTGTGTGTACAGTCTCGGCTTTTGCCCTGGTTTTGGCGGTTTTAGATAAGCAGACAGATGGAGAAATGGAGAAATGGAAAAACAGACAGACAGACAGACAGACAGACAGACGGGCAAATGGATAGATGGAAAGTCAGATAGATAGATTGATAGACAGACAGACAGATTTATAGATAGATAAACAGACAGATGGAGAAATGTAAAAATAGATAGATAGATAGACAAAGAGATAGACAAAGAGATAGACAGACAGAGACACTGATACATAGAGAGATAGATAGACAGGCAGATAGACAGACAGATTTATAGATAGATAAGCAGACAGATGGAGAAATGTAAAAACAGACAGACAGATGGACCAACAGACAGGCAAACGGATAGATAGATAGATAGATAGATAGATAGATAGATAGATAGATAGATAGATAGATAGATAAGCAGACAGACTGAAGACAGACTGATACATGAACAGACAGATATATAGATAGACAAACAGACAGGCAGACAGATGGATAGTCAGATAGATGGATAGACAGACAGATTGATAGATAAGCAGACAGATGGAGAAATATAAAATAGATGGACAGACTGACAGACAGACAGACATAAACAGATAAAAGAGACAGACAGACAGGCAGAGAGATGAAGACAGACTGATACATGAACAGACAGACAGATACATAGATAAACAGACAGATGGATAGTCAGATAGATGGACAGGCAGTGAGGCATATGGACAGATAAATAGACAGACAGACAGGCAGACAGACAAACAGATGGATAGTCACATAGATGGACAGGCAGTCAGGCAGATGGACAGATAAATAGATGGACAGACAGACAGACAGAGATAGACAGAGCACTATTTCCAGAGAAATCGTGTTGGATAATAATGGCACCCCTGCAGAGCAGCTTATCTTAAACTTCCTCTACAGAGCTGATATTATTATCTACAAACATTTAAACAGCGTTCTGTTCAGTCTGACTTCACTGAGTCTGTGAATATCAATAAAAGAAATTCTGAGAGATGGAAATCTGAGTCTAAAGAAAATGTAATCTGGTATTGAGAAACCTCCCTGTCTTCGTTTCTGTCTTCATTTTGATCTTTGGAGCTCAGTTTTAGATTGATGTCAGTAGTGTGAAGCGTGTACTCTATTTTTTCTCCCTGGAGTTATCTAAAAAAAAGAGAGAGAGAGAGAGAGAGAGAGAGAGAGAAAAGTCCCCGGAGTGCTCCTAACCTTAATGTGAAGTGTGAAAATCCCCGAGTGGCTTTTCACCAGCCAGACAGAGAGTCATCAGACGGCGCAGGAAACGAAAAGATTGGAACACTTCAGCCCAACACGAGTGTGTACATCTCCGCATCAGCGCCGTAACGTATCCAAGACAACCACTTAGCCACTCTCGCAGGCCCCCGCTCCGACGTCCGGGTTATTATGCCTCGTTTTTTGTTCATGTTTACGAGCAGAAGCCTCTAATTTCCTGTTTATTGGTCTCGCAGGAAACAGCCATTTGCTGTGCTTTGCATGCAGAGAGAGGGGTGAAGTTCACATCCTCAGAAATTAATGAAAACAAATAAAATCTGTTCTGTTATTGTTCCTTTTTTATGGAAGGAGTGACCTGAGGAGGATGCAGAATAAACATAGTGATATTATGGCGACATGAATCTACTTTTTCCCCTCGTACCCTGGATGTAGTCAATCAACCAAGACACGTTCCGTGTCTGAGGTTTGCTTCTTTGGTTTTTACTGGAGTTACGAGGCTAATTTAGCTAAGAAATGGAAGTTTGTACCGCACCAGTTAGCATCATGCTAACTGCAGGTCTACGCTCGAAACAATGAAACCGTTGTTGGTTTTAATCAGTTTTCTCTCGTTGATATTGCTTAATAAAAGCATGTAAGTCAGTGAAACTGTTAGTTGTGATCTTTCAATGAAATTGAGTTGTCAGATTTACTTTACAAGTGTATGTTTGATTAATGTGTGTCAATATCTTTTCCATTGGCTTCACCTATTTGCATATTGTTTTACATATTTTACTCTTCTTGTCATCTTTCCCCCGACCTTCCTTACATTGTGTATGCATTTTTCCTTATATTCCTCAGTTAACTGCCTATTGGTGCATTGTTATAGGCTGTTGTAACTGTTGAGTGTAACTCTATAACAGCTCAGAAACACATTAATAACTTAAAACTATTTCGATCTAACTTAAACCTAACTTTGTTGGTAACACTTTCTATGAATGTCACCTTTGTAAGCATCTGTAAACACATTCATAACATGTTATAATGCATTCATAAGACATTATAAACATAGCCATAAATATTTATAAAAATGCATTATACGTTATAGCCATGTCTATTATGCATTATGAATTGTTTACATAATACGTTATAAGTACTGATCATAACAAATTATAAGCGCTCATAAGTCGTATTTGTCCGCTCTAAGTAAAGTGAAGCGTACTGTACTAAAGCCTCCTCCAGTGTTCAGAGTGAGGCTTCAAGTTGAAGTATTTACTGAAGGATTTACTGAAACACTAAAACATTCACAATAAAGCACATTACAGGCTTCAAATGTCAGAGTTTAAACTAGAGCTGCCATCAGTGTTTTACCCAATGTGGGAAAGGTAATGTTCACCACCGTTAGCTTGGTATTTGTCTTTACTTTACGCTCTCCAAGCTGGGACTGACTTCTTTGTTACTGACAGTATAACATGTTATCAACACTAATTATAATGCATTATATTAACAATTCATAATGTATAATAAGCATGGCTATAAAGTGTAATTCAGTGTAATTCTTTTTTATAAGTATTTATAACCACATTTTTAATGCCTTATGAAGGCATTATAACATGTTATAAATGTGTTTATAGATGCTTACAAATGCGACATTCATAGAAAGTGTTACCACTTTGTTCTTTTTCTACTTTAATTTGTACATATTACCCAATCAAGTATCTAAAAAACTCCGGAACACAGTTGTGTGGAACCACTTGGAGTAAATCCAACACTTGTTTTGAGTGCAAATCATCAGATACTCACCTAAAACTGTGTGGAGGTGTTCAGTATCCCTACTAGACTTGATTATATGGTTTCTGAAACTGTATGATTCACTGTTATCTATAAACATGGACTAAACAATGTAGCATAGCTTAAAAAAATGGAATGGAAAAATTTCTGTCTGAAATGTGTTTATACTTCTACACTGTATTTCTATGCTGTGTCCTGAAAGTGAGAAGTGAGCATGCCTTTCTGGGACCGCACTGAAAATCTGGGATTTTTGTCATTTAAACTCTGAGACCACTTCTGTTATTCCTCATTAATAGAAAGATTTTTTTTACAAATTATATTATCAGCATAACAATTAGAACAGTAGAATCTTTGAAATGTTAAGATGAATTTCAGAATTTCTTTTTTTCAGGGTTTTATATTCCCACCTTTTGCTTTAAAGACAACATGCACTCAAGCTGGCATTGACTTGTTTTATAGGATTTTTACTTGGATCATTAAATTCTAAAGCCTCTGATCAGTAGGTAAAATCCACAGTGGAAGAGATTAATACATATATTAATATAATAATAGTGCCGAATTTTGAACACTTCTTCTTTATTTTATTCAAAATATATTTTTTTTAAATGTTCTGTTGTTTATTCAATGTTAAATGGCAAGAATCCCAAATATTCAGTGTTGTCCTAGACTTTTTGACCCCACTGTGTATTTTAGTTCATTAACAGAGAAAGGTGGGCTATTACACCAGAGCTCGGTCTTCTACTCAGCTTCTAAGTGTTAAGATCTTTTATATTGATACAGATGTGAAGTTCAGTGACTCCTGCCTAGTAATGCTTGCGATAAACTACAGCTGTAAACCTCACAAAAATATACTCTGACAATATATACATGTAAACATAGAATAGATAGGTCACCTCATAGTCAGGTTTTCCACCAAGCTACACACAGTTTGAACTCTGCTGGTACAAACTGGTACTTTATTTCATCGCTGTCCAAAGAAAGCGTGCGCCTCCATTTTTATCGATTTTTATTTTTCGACTTATTTTGAACATGCCTGCTGTTGTTTACATTGTGTGAGAATTTCATGATGAATGGACCAATAGAAATGCTCCAAAATCACTTTCAATAAAACATCTTTGCATTAAATTACATAGAAAGTAAAGCACGTTTTTGCCTCTACTGTAAAGTTACTGTTTCAGATATACATCTTCTTTGGACGGCGACGATTTGTTATAGGATTTTAGAGGATTACATGAAACTCTAGTAAGGTTCTTCATATCCCACATCTCATTTGCAAACATGGGACAGAGCCATCCACTGCTTGGAGACTCGAAAAGTGGTTCCTCCAAAGAACCTCCTTGGTGCCTTTATTTTTAAGGGATATATATTCCGAGAAGGGATATCAGTTATAGCGGTCAGGGACTGGTTTGTAGCAGAGACAGTCTGGGTTTCTGAAGGTCGAAGCTGCTGCTGCGCACAGGGGATGGCTGGGAAGTGTCACGTTTGGAATGTCGTGCGGAAATTCCTGGAGAATGATGATTCCCTTTGAGCCACATTATCATTCTGAGTGACAGGATTTGGCGCTTACAAATCCCAACTCACCAGCATCCACTTCGCACTATCACCTTCTCTCAAGACTGCCACACAGTTCACTGAGCCTTCTCTCTCTCTCTCTCTCTCTCTCTCTCTCTCTCTCTCTCTCTCTCTCTCCCTCTCTCTCTCTCTCTCTCTCTCTCTCTCTCTCTCCAGACGTGCAGCACATAAAGAGAAGGGACATCGTGCTGAAGCGGGAGCTCGGCGAAGGGGCCTTTGGGAAAGTGTTCCTGGCAGAGTGTTATAACCTCAGCCCCACCAAGGACAAGATGCTGGTGGCTGTCAAGGTAAGAGAGATGATGATGTCTCCATTAGAACGGGGTCACCTCCGCCTCCAGTTACACGAGCCCCACTGTAGAGGTCACGGCTCCTTACCGATCTCCTCCTCCGTTATATTAACCCGATCCCCCCCAGCGTCTCACTGAGGGGGTCTCGGATACAGTTGGCTGAAGCCGAGGGTGATATGCTGGTTTGGATCAATGACAGAAAGAAGGACCTACTTTGTGCAGTGGAAGGATCGATAGTAGCGATTGATGGCGTTTGTCGTGGGTAAGAGGTAGAGGGGTATATGTGTGGTTTCCAGTAGGGATGAGGGGTCTTTTCAAAGCTTCTGTTGTATTTATAATTTCCAAAGTGAATAAAGTCTATTCTTACTGCCTGTTACTGCCTATGGTAACTACCATAATCCGGGTGGTAGAATTATATCATGGGTGGATTGATTAAAAATCCATCGAAAGTAGAAGTACAGCTCTGATATGTGGATCAGTGGGATAGTTGTTACACTACACCCTGTTTCCATAGTTACACTATACCCCATTTTCAAGATTACTCTACATTAATTTCCACAGTGACACTATACTGTTCCTGTAGTTACACTACACCTCATTTTCATGGTTACTCTACATTAATTTCCTTGGTTACGCTACACTGTTCCCATAGTTACACTACACTACACCCTATTTCATGGTTACTCTACTTTAATTTCCATGGTTACACTACATCTCATTTTCATGGTTACTCTACATTCATTTCTATGGTTACGCTACATTGTTTACATTGTTACACTACACCCCATTTTCATGGTTACTGTACATTAATTTCCATGGTTACGCTACACCGTTTCCATAGTTACACTACACTACACCCTATTTTCATGGTTAGTCTACATTAATTTCCATGGTTACGCTACACTGATTCCATAGTTACACTACACCCCATTTTCATGGTTTCTCTATATTGATTTCCATGGTTACGCTACACCGTTTCCATAGTTACACCACACCCCATTGTCATGATTATATGCATTTCCATGCTTCCGCTACATCCTCTTCTCATAGTTACACTACACCCTATTTACATGGTTACGCTACACCTATTTTGATTTTTTTACACTACATCCTATTTTCAGAGTTATGCTACATCCCATTTCCATGGTTATGACGCACTTTGTTTCAGGGTACCGCTACACCTTGTTCCCATACTTACATTACAGCCCATAGTAACTATACATTCATTTCAACAACTATGCTACACTCTGTTCCCATAGATACACTACAGCCTATACCCACGTCTACACACATGTACATGGTTATGCTACACCTATTTTGATTTTTATACTACAGTCTATTTTCAGAGATTTGCTACATCCCTTCTTCATGGTTTCCATGCATGGTTACTCTACACTCCATTTCCATGGTTATGCTACACTCATACAACTATTTCCATTTTTATGCCGCATTCATTTTCATCGATGGTCAAACTACAGCTAAACTACACCCATTTCCAAGGTTATGCTACAATTAATTTCCATAGATATGCTACACCAATTTTCTTGGTTACATTAGAAGTAACGTTATGAGAAGACATGCAGCATCACTGACGGAAAGATAATACAGAAAATGAAAAAGCAAAAAAATATGTTTGAAATTTCAAAACTATCCAGTAGAAAAAGTAGAAAAGAGACGTTATGTGGCAGTTTTTAAACTTAAAAAATATTCTTCACCCTCATTCATATCATTTGCTAAAATCATTATTTAAAGAACTGTCGAGAGATTCTTTACGAAACCAAAATTGGTTCTACTGTGACAAAGTATCCTTTGAGGGACGTGAATGATTGAGTGTAAATGTATGTACAAATATATAACATATATTGTTGTTGTCCTAAAAAATCTTCAAAATAGTAACTTTTACAAGAGAAAGCAGCAAACATTCATAATTGTTAATGTAAACTAAAGAGGAATTCAACCAGTTGTTTTCAAAATTTCTAGATACATAAGTGGTTAAGATGTGAAGTCGTTCAGAGTGGTTTGGTGTGAAACGTTCCGTTCTAGAGAAACTTACTGAGTCAGAACTGTTCACAGTGGTGGTGATAGGAACCTGATGTCCACCTCTAAAAGCTCCCTCAGAAAGTTACTACATGAAATGGTTATGAATTCACTGACTGATGACTGAGACGCTGTTTTATGATAGTTTTGAGAAGATTTTCCAATAATAGTGCAGTTTTTAAATCCATTTATGATAGAGGAGTACGTTGTAGGGCATTGTGAGGCAAAATAGTCCCCAAAGAAAACTTCACAATTTTCCCCCTCACATACTTCTGAGACCAAAACTACCCCCTGGGTAGAGGTACTGATAGCATTGTCGTATCCCTGGGTTGGTTTTCTGGTGGCAGACAGAAGCGAATGAGTCATAAGCAGACTAAAGCCTGACTAATACCTTAACATGGTTCATCTACGGAACTATCCTCCAAGGTCAGCAAACACACGAGTTTCTGAGAGAGAAACAGTCCGTCTATGAGCTATTCACTTCCAGACAACCAATCAAGAGGAGGTTTTATTTTCCCTCATTGAAAAATGTCAAGGCCTACCGCGGGAGAAGACTTTGTGACTCCTACTTTTTTCCAGTGAGAAATTACTTAGCGGGCCGTTTAACTGTGTGGAGCCTTGTGGTTTAATTGTTAGATGTGGCTGAAGCTGAGGTGAGGCGGGTTTGTGGAGGAAGTGCTGCGACTGTGCTTTATTATCTGAAAGCCACGTGAACGATCGCTTCCTCTGAACGCCTTAAGGCCGCGAAATTGGTTTCACCTTACAGCCACAGACGACTGCTTAGCAGTCCGGTGGAGCCTCTAAAGCTTCCTTGAGAAAACGCGCACATGCTCGTACACACATACGGCATCTGAGCTTGAAGGTCCACAGTTATCTGTGGAATAATGTCTTTTCAGATTGGTTTTCTAGCGGAGATGCTGACTGTGTCTCCACTGTTTGCATTGTGTGCACTGTCTGTCGAAAGTCTGGGGACACTTAGTTTCTCAATGTATTTAATACAAATAATCCCGTATAAATGGGTGGCCATGCCATATTAACATGTGGAAACAAGATTCTACTGACTTGTAAGATGTGGGAATGAGAATTAAGTCGTGGCCACAACTTGGTAAAGCATGGGAACGAGATCATCCCTTATTAAGCTGTGATCAAGACCTAATTATGTCATTCCTACACCTTACTAAGTCGTGTCCATGCGTTAGGATCTCACTCCTATGTCTTACTAAGTCATGGCCATGACTTAATTATCTCATTCCCATGCCTTACTAAGTCATGGCCACGCATTATTTTTAGTTCTAGGGGTCACCAGCAAGGCTCCGTATGTTTTCTTTGTTGGTTTGCACTAACTTCACTGTTTAGATCTCAGCATTTGAAAGAACATCTGATAAACGTTCTACCTTGGTCCTTTCAAAGGCCACAACCATTTTCCTCGCTTGTACTTATGCCACCATTCAAACCTAACAATAGTCTGAAAAGAAAACTGTCAAAACGTGGGACTGTGATTGGCAATGTTTTGACAATATTGTGCAAATTATCACTTAGTTCTCTTTCATTTACCGAGTTTTTAGTTCTACCATTTATTTAATCATACCCTTTGTACAATCACTGTAATCTAAGGTTAGTAAAGAATGTACACAATAGAAAAGATTAGATTGCACTTAATTATAGGCTATGCAAACAGAACATCGACAACTTATTAACGAATTAACCACATATACATACTTTGAATGCCAGAAGGATAATAATGTAGATTTTCAATCTAGAAAGAATGCTGGGTACTTACTTTATATGAATAGCCACCAGTAGTTTATCTGTAGATGCTCAAATTATTAACAACCTACACTTAAAAAAATCAACCAGTGAGGTTGTTTGAGTTACAAACTTAAAAATATCAACATTAAGTAAATGAACTTTGTTGTTTTTAAGCAATTAGTTTGTGTGAAATGGACAAAAATGAAAGACAGTGAATTCCAAAGAGAACGCCATTCCAGTGAAAGCCAAATAAATGGCAATGAAATTTTTCAGATTTGTACAATCAACAATTGAACGTATGATGAGATAATAAAGTTTGCACATGCTGACTCTACTCTAGGGGTGTGAATCTCTCCCTTTCAGACAATTTGATACGCATTTTGATACGCAGTTTACAACACGATACAAAAACAATACAGTTAAACAGGTAATGATTCGATAGGTATCAAAGGTACTCATTACTGGTAATCAATAGGTATTCATTACTGAGCCGATACGATTTGCTTCAGCATCAATACAGAGCTAGAATGAATTGATAGTGAACTCTGAATGAATCTGCTAATGCTAGCTTTACCCGTTGCGTCTTTAGCTGAAGCTGCAGGTTTCGGTGAGCATTACACTGTGCCATCTCTCTAAGTGTGCAGCAAGGTGTGGTGCTGCCAGGGTACTTTATGGAACTTCTGCACACAGCAGTGCTTTCGTTGCAATTTTCTGCTGAAATTTTGCCGAATCCAAAGTATTTCCAAACTTTTGACTTTAGACTTTGTGGTGCATCGCAAAGCATCTCCTCCATTTCCTGGGTGTGTGTAAGCAAAGAAGAATTGGGGGTGGAGCTCTCTTTTAGATAATAGAGGTGGCTTTACAAACTGTTTTCACAGGTCACAGTTTTCAAGCTAGAGCCACAAAACTTTGCATGATTGTAGAGCCTGTTCAGAAGCAGTGCACTTGGACCAACTGCTATATATATATATATATGTATATTAGCAACCACCTGGAATAAGATTATAATGGCCCAGCAACACTTTAGCAACCACCTTGGATAACTGTAATGGCCTTGCAATACCTTAGCAACCACTTGGGAGACAGTAGTAATGGCCTAGCAACACCTTAACAACCACCTGGGACACCATAGCGATGGCCTAGCAACACCTTAGAAACCACCTGGGATACCATAGCAACAGCTTTGCCAAGCCAACTTAATGTTTGTTCACAAT